GTATGGACCAGTATAAACCAGTATGGACCAGTATGGACCGGTATGGACCAGTATAAACCAGTATGGACCGGTATGGACCAGTATGGACCGGTATAAACCAGTATGGACCGGTATGGACCAGTATAAACCAGTATGGACCGGTATGGACCAGTATGGACCAGTATAAACCAGTATGGACCAGTATGGACCAGTATAAACCAGTATGGACCAGTATAAACCAGTATAAACCAGTATGGACCGGTATGGACCAGTATGGACCAGTATAAACCAGTATGGACTGGTATGGACCAGTATGGACCAGTATAAACCAGTATGGACCAGTATAAACCAGTATGGACCAGTATGGACCAGTATGGACCAGTATGGACCAGTATAGACCAGTATAAACCAGTATAAACCAGTATGGACCAGTATGGACCAGTATGGACCAGAATTTTGGATATTTTGGGGAATTTTGGGGTTTTTTGGGGTTTTTTTGGTTTTTTTTTAGGAATTTTGGGGGTTTTTTTGGGGAATTTTGGGGATTTTTGAAGGGAATTTTGGGTGGGTTTTGGGTTTTTTGGGGTGAATTTATTTTTTCAATTTTGGAGTTTTTTGTGTGAATTTTGGGGTTTTTGGGGGAATTTTTTGGGGTTTTTTTAGGTTGGTTTTGGGGTTTTTTGGGGGATATTTTGGGTGGGTTTTGGTTTTTTTTTTGCGGGAATTTTTTTGGTATTTTTGGAGTTCTTTGGGGGAATTTTGGGGGGTTTTGGGGTTTTTTTGGGGGGAATTTTGGGTGAGTTTCAGGTTCTTTTGGGGGGATTTTTTGGGTATTTTTGGGGATTTTTTGGGGGGAATTTTTGGGGATTTTTTGGGGGATTTTTTTTGGGGTGGTTTTGGGGTTTTTTGAAGGGAATTTTGGGGTTGGTTTGGGTATTTTGGGGTGTTTTGGGGCAATTTTAGGGGTGTTTGTGGGGGGCATTTTTAGGGTGGTTTTTTGGGGTATATTTGGGGATATTTTTGGCTTTCTGGGGAATTTTTGAGTGCATTTTTGGGCCAATTTTGGGAGTAATTGTGGGTATTTTTTTGGGTATTTTTGGCTGGTTTTTGGGCCATGTTTGGGAGTAAATTTGGGAATTTTTGGGGTATTTTTGGGTTATTTTTTGCTGGTTTTCGGGGATTTTTGGGATTAATTTTGAGTATTTTTGGGGTATTTTTGGCTGATTTTTGGTCCAGTTTTGGCAGTAATTTTGGGTATTTTTGGCGTATTTTTGGCTGGTTTTTTGGGTATTTTTGGCTGGCTTTTAGTCCATTTTTGGGAGTAATTCTGGGTATTTTTGGGGTGTTTTTGGCTGGTTTTTGGGGAGTGATTGTGGGCAGTTTTGGGACATATTTTGGGGTATTTTGGGGTATATTTTGGGGTATTTTGGTGTATATTTTGGGGTATTTTTGGCTGGTTTTTGGCAGTAATTCTGGGTATTTTGGGGTATATTTAGGGGCATTTTTGGGGTATATTTTGGGTTATTTTTGACTGTTTTTTGGCAGTAATTCTAGGTAATTTTGGGGTATATTTTAGGGTATTTTTGGCTGTTTTTTGACAGTAATTGTGGGTATTTTTGGGGTATGTTTTGGGGTACTTTGGGGTATATTTTGGGATATTTTGGGCTGGTTTTTGGCAGTAATTCTAGGTAATTTTGGGGTATATTTCGGGGTATATTTGGCTGTTTTTTGACAGTAATTGTGGGTATTTTTGGGCTATATTTTGGGGTATTTTTGGGTATATTTTAGGGTATTTTTGGCTGGTTTTTGGCAGTAATTCTAGGTAATTTTGGGGTATATTTTGGGGTATTTTGGGGTATATTTTGGGGTATTTTTAGCTGTTTTTTTCCAGTAATTCGAGGTATTTTGGGGGTATATTTCAGGGTATTTTTGGCTGGTTTTAGACAGTAATTGTGGGTATTTTTGGGGTATGTTTTGGGGTATTTTGGGGTATTTTTGGCTGGTTATTGGCAGTAATTCTGGGTATTTTTGGGGTATATTTTGGGGTATTTTTGGGGTATATTTTAGGGTATTTTTGGCTGGATTTGGCAGTAATTCTGGGTATTTTTGGGGTATATTTTGGGCTATTTTTGGGGTATATTTTGGGGTATTTTTGGCTGGATTTGGCAGTAATTCTGGGTATTTCGGGGTATACTTTGGGGTATTTTTGGCTGTTTTTTGACAGTAATTGTGGGTATTTTGGGGGTATATTTTGGGGTATTTCGGGGTATATTTTTGGGGTATTTTTGGCTGGATTTGGCAGTAATTCTGGGTATTTTGGGGGTATATTTTGGGGTATATTTTGGGTTATTTTTGGGTATACTTTGGGGTATTTTTGGCTGGTTTTTGGCAGTAATTCTGGGTATTTTTGGGGGTATTTTGGGCTGGTTTTTGGCAGTAATTGTGGGTATTTTTGAGGTATATTTTGGAGTATTTTGGGGTATATTTCGGGGTATTTTTGGCTGTTTTTTGACAGTAATTCTGGGTATTTTCGGGGTATATTTTGGGGTATTTTGGGGTATATTTTGGGGTATTTTTGGCTGTTTTTTGGCAGTAATTTGGGGTATTTTTGGGGTATTTTTGGGTATATTTTAGGGTATTTTTGGCTGTTTTTTGGCAGTAATTCTGGGTATTTTTGGGACATATTTTGGGGTATTTTGGGGTATATTTTGGGGTATTTTGGGGTATATTTTGGGGTATTTTGGGGCTCTCACCGCGGCTCTGGGGCTCCAGCTCCAGCAGCTCCCGGCACACCTGGACCTGCTCCTGCAGCACCGGCGCCGCCGCCACGCCCAGCTCCGGCCTGGGGGCGGCGCCAGAGAGCGGAAGGGGCGGGGCTTGAGAAAGGGGCG